ACACAGGCTGCTGCTGAATTGATGAGGACCATGGCAGGGCACCACACAGTGTGGCACAAGAAAGTTGTCCATATCCAGTCTGAGGCACTGCAGACCAGTAACCTAGACAGCTCAGAAAGTCGTCATAAGGAATCAGCATTCAATGGCACAGTTATTGATGGAGAAACAGAAAATAAAGATCAAAGACATAGGAGGATCTTGAGAAATCTTCACAAGAAATTTATAAGTGGCTATTATTTTTATCATCACTGCTCAATTAAGGAAAATGAAGATACAATTTCCTGTCCAAGTCCTATGCCAGTGATAGTAAAATAAAGATCAAATAAAAATTTTTTAAGATTCAAGAGAAGCATAATTCTTTTGAGTTGTTTTAAGAAATAGCTTATATACTATGGTTACATAATTTGAGATGTCTAGGGGCTGGAGAGATGGCTCAGCAGTTAAGAACCCTGGTTGTTCTTGCAGAAGAACACTCTCATGCAATTAAAGTCATAGTTTTAAGTTACTTGGAAAAATTTTATTAAAAAGCACATCTCCAATAATATTAGACAAATTAGGTGTCATTGCATTTAAATTCCTAGAAATGCACAGCTTAAATAAACTTCTTGGTTCCCTATTTGGCATAATAAACCGTATGGTGTTTGCAGAGATCATTTTCTTCTGGCATAGCTGTGGTGGGACTGGCATTATAATGGTCCTAGAAAAACAAACCTTCACATTCCAAAATTTTGACAAATTTTAGGTGAATACGCTCACAGCTGCAGAAAATAATGAGTCAAAGTTTCCAAAGCCCCTCTCTTATGAAAAGACATGTGCTCGGGATGAGGAAAAGTACAGAAAGATTAGCTGGTTCCTAGGCATTCAGAATGAAAATTATTAAAATTTATTATTGCCATAATTTTCACAGTATTATTCTCACACCACTAAAATGAGTGAAATTCTAGTAAAAAGGAAAGGACCAGACCACTTAAAAAATGATTTTTAAATGCTGACTTTTACAAAGCCGGCCAGCAGGAAAACTGGTAGAAGCAAAAGCTATTTTATTCAGAAAAATAGAAAAGTACTCCTTAGGGGAAAGGAGGCTGCTGAGATGTGGCCTGCTCATGTGGAGTCACTTACAGCAGCTTCCACTGCTACCAGGCAGTCCATCACAATCTCAACATCAAACAGAGTACTGGAACAGAGCAGGCCAGAAATATGGAGATTCTGCAAATTGAAACCACCACAAACACTGCTAGCAATTTCAATATAGTTAGACTGCATGTGTCACTGGAAAATGTTTAACCCTAAATCTGCTTCCAAAATGCATTTAATTACTATATGTATTATTCATGTGTATCTGGGAGTCCAAATGAAGATGGGACCTTTGTGATCATTTAGAATGCTTGCCAGAATCAAGGTGTTTTTTGTGAGGTTCAGCAAACACAGAATCTGGCAATCTACATTTTTCTCAGGGGGATGAGCCTCAACAGAAGCCTAAAAAGAAGGGCCTTGACTGGCACAAGCAATATTCCATGTGGCTTTAAGTGTAAAACAGCAACACAAAGAGACAGTCCAATAAAAACCTTTACCATGCATCCTACCTAAGACAAAGATCTCTCAGAATAATGAAAAACCAAAGTCAGAGGCTTGAGAGATGGCTTAGCAGTTAAGAGCACTTGCTCTTGCAGAGGACCCAGGTATGGTTCCCAGACCCACAAGGTGGCCAACAACTGTCAGGAACTCCAGTTCCAAGGGAGTCGATACCTTCCTTGGGCATTGCATGTATGTGGTGGTTCACTTACATATATGTAGGCAAAAACACTCATACACATAAAGCTAAAAAAAAAAAAGGTAAGAAATCTAAGTCAGTCAAGCTCTGCAAGAAAAAAATGAAATCATATATGCCAGTGATAAGTAGCTCACAGAGAGATAAAGTAAACTTTTTGGAATAAAATTTCCAGGAAGAAAAAGAGATAAACTAATGTTTGCTGAATATTTGCAGTGCACCAGGTACCAGGCAAGGTATTTCCCTGAAACTAGCCAAGAGAGGTGAAGTGATTATTACTATCTTGATTTTATTTAAAAAAGAAAATCAAATTTCATAAAGCAGATAAATTGCCCCAAATCATTCAGTTGGTAAAAGACAACACTGAGGCCAGCTGTAAATTCTGATCTTTCCCTACACCTTGAAACTTACCTGGAGTATAATACATGCACTTCCTTTCACCCTGTATCATGTCATCCAACTAGGTGTCTTTTCCTGTTCCTAAGCTGACCCATGCTTTTGCCTATGGTGTCCTGCCTTCTCAAAGGCTTGTGCTGTAGTGATGGCTCTTTTTTTTTGCCTCAGACAGCATGATCACTTTCCCCAGCTGAGAGTCCCTTCCTTCTCTTTTCTGCTTCTAACTACTGTCCAGTTTTGCTTTTGTGAAACCCGTACTTTTATTTTTATATTTTATTTTACTTTATGTGTATGAGTGTATTGCCTGCATGTATGTGAGTGCATGTGTGTCATGCAGTGCCGTGGAGGTCAGAAGAGGGCTTCGGATTCCCCTGGAACTGGAGGTAAGGATGGTTTGTGGCCACCATGTGGGTGTTGGAAATTGAACCTTGGTTCTCTGCAAGAGCAGTCAGTGCTCTTAACTGCTAAGCCATCTCTCCAGCCCCGTAAACCCATACTCTTTGAAAGGATCATGGCTTTTACTTAGCATCCTGTCCCATGCTGTAGCTGGCACAGTCCAGTGTATCATCTACTAGTTTATAGAGCCTGCTTTGGCAAAGATAACTTCTCAGTACATGCTCTTCAGACCTCATCCTTTCTTAGTCTTTTGAGCATCTGGCTATACTAATCACACCTCCCTGAACACAGATTCCCCTGAAAACACTCTCCTAATTCTACTGTAAAACCTACTGCCTCCCTTCTTTGACTCATTCTTCTACCTCAGCACAGCCCTTCTCTATTAGGAATCTCACATGACTATCCTCTCTTTTATCTCCTTATCACTTCCTGTAATCTAACCTATGAACTTTGGCTTCCACAAGGACACTGAATCCCTGTCAACCTCTGTATTTTCTACTTGTCTTGGGTATCTCATCTGACAACGCCCAAATTTCTCAGTTAAGCATATCCCAAACCAAACTCATTTCACCTCTCCCCACGAGTTCGGTGTACTCTTCCCTTCTTGGTGAGTTGTCTTAATATCTGCCTTGCACTGTGGGCACCCTTCAAATTTTCCTTGATTTTTCCTTACCTGGGCTCGAAGTCCTAATGTCTCAGCATGCTACATGTCCATCCCTTTACTTCATTTTCATGTTTCCTTCACTGCTACCCCCAAGTCCAACCCTTTACTATGTCAGCCTCCCAAATGGCTTCTGTCTCCATTCTCTTAGATTCTGTCATCCTCCTCTTTGCCATCAAACTGATCTTCATCAAACAGGATATTAGTGGCATTTTTCTTTTTGTGAAATTTCAGGGGATTCATCAAAAGCCAGTTTTCAAGGTATTGTTAATGCAACCAGATGCTCAAGGGGTTTAGGAAGGATGAGGTCCAAAGACAGGCCACTGGACTTAAAATTGATGAAGTTATGAATTAACTTTGCCAAAGCAGGATCTATACCTAATAGGTCTGAAAGCAAGACTTTAACGACCCTCTGGACTTGGCCTGAATTTCCAACCTGCATTTTGAGAACTGCCCTCCTCTTCTATCTAATAATTCTCCCCCAGTATTTTCAGATTCTATGGCTTAGCTTATGCTACTCTTTTGATTAAAATGTCCTTATTTGTTTGATTCACCTGGAAAGCTTCTAGTTGTCTCTCTCTTTTTTCTTTTTCTTTTTTCCTTCTTCCCTCCCTCCTCCCTTCCTTTCTTTTTTTGGTGTGTGTGATCCCCTCCCCCAATTGTTGGAGACCAACCCCAGGACCTTATACTTGCTATGCAAGAGCTCTACCACTGAGCTAAGTCCCCAATGACTACCTGGCCTATTTCTATTCACCCATCCTTCAAGGCTCCTTCATCCCTCTTATCGTCATCTTCCCCAAACAACTGTTCCCACAGTCTCTTCATCACAGCACTAGCCACAGGGCTTCAGAGTCACTGCTGCCTCATGCCCCACCATCCCCACCATGAACCCTTCAAAAGCAGAGACTATATTATTAATCTTTATACTACCAGGGTCTAATTCAGTGCTTGAATCACAGTCGATGCTCAATAAATTCATGTTACGTGCACAAATTAATAGAGCTTTTCCCTGTTTGCAGTATTCAGTAAGACTGTAGCTTCATTATCATAGCAATATGTAAGAATCAATGTAATATATTACAGAACATAGCAGCTTCTACTGATATATCTGAAGTTTGGCTTTCTACTGAATAGTTTTAAACTCTAATAGCTATAAAAGTGTGAACAACATATTGCTTATATTGATGTCCTGTCAATGTTATGGCTACCTTCCTAAAAATTTATTTGCTAAGCTCCACTTTACACCACTCATTTATTCATCCAGCCATTCACCCCTCAATTCATATCCACCTCTTTCAAAAAGAGTTCAAACACACATTTGAGTTTCTCAGCATGTTCTAGCTGCCCATTCATCTTTGTTTTTCTTCATCCTACCTCAGGTAGTTAGTGAATATTACAGGGAAAAATACCCAAGTCCATTACACTGAATAATTTAAATTCTATATTATTTCCTGAGAGTGGGGACTTGATTCTTATAGTTTATCAAAATGGTAAAGTCTCACCAGAACTTTTTTAAACAGAAGACCTCCCAGAGTATCTTATGCGCAAATATTTTCCAAGAAACATTAGGTATCTACACAACAAAATGAAAAGTCTGAGTATGATATACATTAACCCTTGTATTCATTATCGTTCTGTCAAAATGAGTTCACAAGGAAATAAGCTACTTTTAAAAGGCAGCAGATACCAAAGAGCATTTACTTGTGATGTTTAGGATGTATGCAGCACTCTCTACCTGCTCTCTTCAGAGCATCTCCCAGGAGCCGAAGGCAGACTCACCTGGTGAGTTCTGGGGGGATGACACAGGGGAGCCACGCGGGGACTGACAGTAGCTGGGGTGGAGTAAGGCATGTGGAGGCACGTATGACATTATCTCTTCTTCAAATAAACTGAGGAAACACAAGAAACAGACAAATGCTTTAGCCAAAGAGGTGGAGAAAAGTTCCACATTGAGCAGAAGCCTGGGTCGTTCACGCTAACCCATTCCATCAGAAGTCTCTTTTGCTCTTGTCTATGATAATTTAACAGGCATCTTCCTTCCATAGTTCTACATTCTGAAACATACATGTGTAGATAAAACGTACAATTTTGCCTTGTGCAATGTTAAGAATTACATAAATTCTCTGTAAATATTTACCATGCTTGAGTATTTTTTTCTTTTTCAACAATATTATTGTAGTCAGATATGTATGTGGATGTGTAGGGATCTAGTGTATTCCTTTTGCTGGCTGTATATCAGGTCATTCAAGTGATCCCTATCCCCTTTGAAAAATATTTACTTTTGCTCCCACTTTGTGCTTTTTAATCAATAATGGTACAATGATCATCCCCTACATATTACCTTGTGTATGTATTTCTTAATGTGAATATAATACAAGCGTAAAAGCAGAGCTGCTCCATCCAAACACATAGCCTTTTTAAAATTATTATTTTTATTTTATGTGCATGTGTGTGAGTGCACCCATGTTGTGCAATGCCGAATGCCACAGAGGTCAGAGGGCTTCAGATTCCCTTGGAACTGGAGTTAAAGATGGTTTGTAGCTGCCATGTGGGTGCTAGGAATTGAACCTGGGTCCTCTGCAAGAGCAGTCAGTGCTCTTAACCGCTGAGCAATCTCTCCAGCTCCACACATAGCCTTTTTAACATACAAGTCATTGTCTGTTTGTACTCCAATGAAGTGGTACTAATAGAAACCACAATCTCACCAAGCCCAGACAATATGAGAGATCCTTGCTCTTTGTATGTGAGTTTTTAAAATACTTATGATTGCAACCACACAACATATACAAATTCATGTAGATTCCAGTCTCTAGCAAATAGAAATTGTTTAGCTATAGTTAAATAAAATATTTAAGACTATGCCTTCCAAAGATTATTTAACTGAGACAGATGAAGAACAATCATGCTTGTTAGCCATGGCCATGCCATTTTGAGAAGTTTTTCCTTTCGGTTAAATGGTGGCAGCTTCCCAAAACCACAGTAATCAGCATTCCTAGACTTGTTTTCCTAGATTCCTGCCACTGACCCCTGAAGACTCCCTGATAATGGCTGGCCATAAGAGATGTTTTTCATCACCTGGCATTCTTGCACTCACTACTCACCCAATCAATCTTGGGCCAAAGAAAGGAAGCTTCCCAACCTCCTTCTCCACACTTTTCTTCTGCCCTATAAGTATTCCAGTTTGTAAGCCACAGGCTCTGATTCTTATAGAAACTCCCTCTGCAGGTTTTCTCCCCCAAATAAAGGTCTGCACTATCTTACATCGCCCATTCCCTTTTCTGTCTTTCCATCCACGGACCTTTCAATGACCTACTAGCAGGGACTAGGAGTCAGACAGCTCTCAGCTAGGCAGACAGGCAAGGAGAAGAGGCTCTAGGTGGACTAATGCACTTTTCACTTAAACATTTAAGATGGCCCAAACAAAGTGTGTGTGTGCTTCTGCTTTCAATAAACTTGGCGAAGCACTGAGATCTCGCTTTCCTGCCTTTTATTTTTTTTTAAATTGGCAGAGAACCTAAATGACCTCACTATTATGACTTTTGTTTTATATTAATTTATTTTTTCTAATTCTAAAAGAAAAATTATTAGTTCAAAACAAAAAAGAAACAACAAAACTTAAATTTCTAATAAGAAGCAAAGAATCATACCCTAGCCAGACTTTTATAACAAAAATTTAAATTTTGGTAGAAACACCATATTCTGCTATTACTAGACCAATAGTCTTCCTGACGATCAGGCATGCAATACTACTTTCAGAACTAGCTCAGTATGTCACAGTAAAAGGTTCACCTGCTAGATTGGCAGCCCCAAAGACCTTCACAGTGAAGCAAAGAGAAGAGTTAAGGGAAGCGATTGAGCCGGTTGGAAATCCTGCTTCAACAGCAGCAAGGAGACAAACTTTTGAGCAGCTAGAAAGCAGCTTAAAATACAGCACAAATACACTAACTCTCAGGCAGAAAATCAGAAATGGTCAGGGTCAAGAGCAACATGAGAAAGCATGAATGGGACCCTGAGCACTCAGGGATACACAGAGCATTACCCGAGGGGCCGGGGTGCCACCCATTGCCTGAGACTCTACAGAGACCTCCAGGGCAGAGTCCACACCACTGAGTTGAACAAAATATTATTTTACTCTGACCTACCTACATTTGAGGCATGATATTAAACATGAGAAAGTCTGAAAACTTCACAGTTGCCCTTCCAAATTACTCTAAAATTTAAAACCAAAGTCAGTTTAACCATCACGAATGAAAAGACAGCTAGTCAATTTCATGAAGGGCTATCAAACTGGCAATACCATGAACCAAACTTCAACTTTTTTATTTCCCAAACCCAAACGTTCAAAACCACAAAGTAAATAAATAATATGTCGAGTCAGCAAAAGGAGACAAAGGAAAAAAATGGAAAGAAAATATAAAGATGACCGCTGTTCCACACTGAAGGGTGAGCTGTGTATACCTTATATGGTTGCCCTCCTGTTCCAGTCTGTGAGTGGGGTATTTTATTCATCTGTATAGCCTTTCACTTTGCTAATACCATATTCTTTACCAGTAGTTTAAAATCAAAATTAAATAAATCTCAGTGTTAACAGATGTAATCTGCAATGAATTATCACAAAAGCTGCATTCTGAATTTTCAATGTGACAGTTTCCTTAAGTCTTTGAGGATAAAGAGACACTTTTAGGCTACTAGTATATTTTCTAGAATGTGCCACAGTATTTGATAACAGAAGCCTTTCTACTTTAAGTTCTAGTGTTTCATACCTCAGCAACATAACAAGGTCTGCATCACTTGAAAGGCGCACCAATCCAGGGGTCCCTTCAGTTCGGATAAATTGAATCTTCTCCCTGTTCAGACAAAGAAACAGAATAAATATATATGACAGGCTTTGGGGATACAACTTACTTTACTTACTGGTAAACCGCATTTTCTATAATGGTCACAGAATTTTGGGTACTTATTATATGGCAGTTATGCTATGTATCATAGAATACATGAGAATACAATTTCCTCAGAGACATGGTCCTTGTTTTTGAGAAGAACATCATGGGTCTGGGATATAGCTCAGGGATAGGGTGCTTGCCTAGCATGCAGGAGATCCTGAATTCCTCCCAATACTATAAGAAAAGGAAAGGAAAAAAAAAAAAAAAACATGCAACAAGAAGCACATGGTGTACAGCACATTTCTAAGTTCCAATATTGGGAGAAAAATGATTATTTTATTTGCTTTGAACATTCTGCTAACTAAATATCACTACAGACAGGATTATCATCCAACCAGTCAAACCAGTCCCCATTCTGAGTTGCAGCCACGTGTGAGTCTGAATCTAAGCAACAGTTTTAAAGACTCTTCCCCTGCTCTCCAAAAAGTAACTGCTCAGATTTATCCCCTGCTACTCTAAAGGGATTGCTTAGGGATAACCACCTATTTTTCTGAAGATAAATCTCTGAGTTATGTGTGACAAATTCATTTTTAGGGGGAAACATAACATCTATGCTTAAAACTTCAGTAAAAAGGAATATGGTTATTTTAAATAATGGAAAACTGAAACATTCTTAGTTACCATGACTGGTTAACTAGATCATGTGCATGCATGTGCAAATGTCTGTAGACCTATACACACCAAACACAATGCTGTGGGGTGGGGATGCATATCAGTGGAAGAGTGCTTGTCTAGCATATGCGAGGACTGGGGCTCAAACACCAGCATTACACATCACACACACACATACACACACACACACACACACACACACACTGCTATTATTTCTGCCACTTATCATACACACATGTGATAACACCATTTTTTTTGTTTCATGAGTTATCTTTGTATCACTATCTTAAATTTTTCATATGAACATGATTTAAATAAAAAAATTCTTGTTCTTTCCCTCACTTACCCCATGCTATTTCAAAGCACACCATATTAACATATAAGATGAAAAAAAATAAACTAAAAACTCTGGTACTGAAGCCATTTCATTTGAGTAGAACATGGAGGCCAAAAATATATACACTTTGACTCTGAGTGCTAAGTACCACATATTCTAATAACCATAGTATGAAATGAAATGAGTCTCTGATTACTTATTTAAATTTAGTTCTTATCTAGAGAGTATCTTATTGTTCTTGGATATTTTCATAAGATTTCACTGCATTTTAGATTTACAAGATCCAAACTGTCTTATGAAGATTGCTTTAGAGAGTTGAAGGCAAGGAGGTAGAAGGTGAGGTTAAACTGTTTAGATGAAAGAGCCCCTGATATATAAAAATTGATTTGCCCTTAGCCACCCAGCTTACAGGGTTAAGGTACAGGTTCAGTCCCTGTTTTCTTCTGGTTAGATTAATTTTACATAATACGTCAGTATAGGAAGCATCTAATCCTTAGAATTTTTTTTTTTTTTTTTTACTTTTCTGTCTTTTATAGCCAGTAGCTAACTACTATTAAAAGAACAAAGACTATGAAGACCTCAGAGTTGGATACAAATTTAAAAATATGCTTAGACTGCCAGGCTCCCTGATAACTTATTTGAGACCATTGAAAGTCAGAACCAGGAAGGCCAACTTCCCACAAGCCTTAGGATTGCATGTTGGAAGCACATGATGGAAATCAAGGCCTATTATCTAGTGATTTTTTTTTTTTTTTTGGTCTTTTTGAGGCAGCGTCTCCCTGTAGCCCCAGCTGTCCTGGAACTCACTATGTAGACCAGGCTGGCCTTGAACTCACAGAGATATGCCTGCCTCTGCCTCCCAAGTGCTGGGACTACAGGCATGCGCCACCACACCCGGATAAGTGATTTTTTTTTTTTAAATAAGAGATCTAAGCATTGGTTTTAAAAAGCTCAATTAGGAAAAAAATTATCTTGGAGAAAAATGAACAATTCCCTAACCAAAGAAGTTTTCGTGTAAGGGTCCGTGACACCATACTTTGATTTGCTATCGCCAACAAGTATGCAGTGTATCTATCTCCTCAGTCTATCACCACAATGAGGCCCAGCAAGTAGAATAAAAACAAAATATCCAAACAGACTCAGTGCTCTCCCCAGCTCCATTAACTGAACTGGGTCAAGTGATGATCTAGATGCCAGGCTCTGGACTGCGGCCTATAGGCTTCCTGTGAATCAGAGGGGCATCACTGCTCATCTGAGTCACAAAGGCGACAGGACCAAGAGCTGAAGGGGAGTCTGCACCAGAGACAGGATGCCACCTGGGAAACGTCTCATCAGTTTCCACTATGACCTACTAAGCAGTGAAACAACTGGTTTGATTTTTCAGATAAGAACATACCAGAAAACAAAATTATTAATTTCCAATTTCAGTTTTATTATTTTTTTAATGATGTAATTTTTATTTATTATGGAGAGGTTTTATTTAATTAAAATTTTCCATATGTGGAAACTTGAAAACAAAGATTAGATAAATCATGATACCTCAAAGTGATGAAATGCAATTCATTAAATTAATGAAATTTAATTTCTTTAGTATACATAATACACACACACACACACACATTATCGGACATTGAGAAAAAAACACCATCTCAGAACAAAGCAAAACTAGAAAATCACCCATAAATCTTCCAACCAGATGTAATCATTGTGGGTATTTTTAATATCTGTCATGCTGTCTAATTTGCTTTTATTCTGAATTTTACTGTTTCACAATCTGAATTACTGTGCTGAAGGAAAAATGGCAACTCAAGTTGAGTCACATCCACAACATTGTTTTGTTTTTGTGGTACCAAGGATTGAACTCAGGGCCACCTTCATGCTAGGCAAGAACCAAACAGCATACTTCTCAGTTTTGTTATTTTTAATTTTATTCATTTTTGTTTAAAGTTTATAAAAACTATAAGCATAAGGAGTTTACATATATTTTATATTTATACACATTTAAGTTTCTTTAAAATAAAAGTGGTTAAAGGCAACAAGATAGATCTGTAATACTGCTTTTCCTTTAAGAATAGAAACTAAGATGTGACTCTTATGAATTTCCATGAGGCTACCAAATGCTGATTTACAAAATTAGTTGAGAAATGTTACTAAAAAATTGTCTATGATTAGGGGAGCCTAATACATTTATTCAAGTTTATTCTGTTAATCTATAAAGTTAAAAGGATTCTGTGGCATGAAGAAATTCTATTCAATTTTGGCAGTTTACAATGAAAATTAAAAATTCCTTCTGAAATGTGAATTTCTTGAGGACAAAAATCTTTTCTCCTTGATACTTCTTCCCACAAGTACCTAGCAGTGTTCTGTACATACCAGAGCTCAGTAAAATACAAACCAGGCACATGCTCAGTTAATGTCAAAATAACAGATCCCAACAACCAACTCCATGTTGGGAATAAACAATCTTGCTCTCATTTTCTGTTGTGGCAGGAAACAAAAAGCATCAGAAAGCTGACTTCAGATTATTGACTGAAGTGGAATCCACAGAGGGAAGGGCAATGATGGGTAAAGAGATGATCTTAATATGAAAACCCCCAACTGTTAAAGCAAGATTGCTAAGCTGCACAGTGACAACCTTGGAAAAAGTTGCCCACTAGTGTTGTCTCTCAGACTCACAATATTTAGGATTTTGTAACCACTTCCTCCCAAAGGACATATTCACCCCCGGAGATCAACTCTCTCAGGAGATCACTTAAGGACAATGATCATTTAAGGCAAGGTCTCAAGATTAGAATTCCCACAGAAAACATTCTCACTGAAACCAACCCACACTTTGGTGAAGTTAAAGAAGGGCACGTGTTCAGAAACAATCAAAAGCAGCAGTGCACTTGACCGCAAAACTCCCTGGATTGCAGACTCTGCACACTCGGGTTTCTGCAGAAAGGGCTCAGTAACACAATCGAAAATACACAGGCTTTTAAAACTACCTGAGGGTGGCTTTACAGCAGTACACTGACTTCCCCAATGGGACAATGCCAAGAAAGGAAAATTAGCAATTAGCATTGACCCTTCATAGTCATTATCAGAGTCACAGGGCCCAGTCTGCCTTGACAGATGGAGCTGACAGTAGAAAGTTTAATTTTCTATTTCCATTCTGTAGGATAGAGTTGGGAACATAGGTCCACATGGTCATGTGATTGTTATGGACACAGAAAAAATGACATGAATTACCCACATGCTAAGGAAAAAATGGATATAATATAAATGGAATAAATTATGGGCTAAGAACTGTCTTTGCTTCTTCATCTCAAAATAAGAATTATTAGAATGCAAATAAAATAGCTGGAGCTTATGTTGTAGGTCCTCAAGTTTTTTTAAACTAGTGAGTGTATTATTAGATAGACCCCATAGTTACACTTTTTTTCCCCCAAAAAAACAGTAGGATTCATTGAAAAATCAGAATCAAGCTAGATTTCTGTGTCTGATATTGGCAAGCCATCCTAATCATGTTGTTGTTCATGCCACAATCTGGATTGAGGATTTCTATGAAGATGGGTAGATAAGATACTGTCCCCTCCATAATCCTAGAATGATGCTGTGAGTTTCAAAGAGACAGTTCATATGAAGGGTTTACATCTCTCACAATTCAATATATGGTGGAAACTACGCAGCTCAACAAAACATGATTCTATATAAGTAGTAATCTGCCTCAATGGTCCTTTTATTTCATGTGTTCTATGCACAGTCTTGCTATACACCAGCCTGGTCTGGAACTCACAATTCTTTCTTAGCCTCTTGAATGTTGGGATTGTAGGCATATGCCACCATGCCTACCTTACGACTTTTTAATTCTCTGGCTTCTGTTACCTGTGGTCAACCACTGTCTAAAAACATTAAACAGAAAATTCCCAGATATAAAAACTCATGTGTAGGGGCTGGAAAGATGGCTCAGCAG